AAGCCATCCACTTTGTTGTTGATGTAAATAAACATCTCTGCTCCCCAGTCTGATGGTGGCGTGCCCTGCCAAATGGATGAATGTGCCGTTCTCCATTGCGCGTCCCCAGCTTCCTACTGACGTTTTCCTTCGGTTTTCGCAGAAGCCGCAGCCTTCTCTGCCACACCCTTCGTTTTGTGGTACTTCCACCAATTCTCAGCTGACTTGTCGAAAGGAAAGAGGTGATAGAACTCTTCTTGCAAACCTTTTGCTTTTTATCCTCTGTTCACAATCAGGCCTTCTCAAGGTTCTACGCCGTCCAGGCTCCATTAACTAGAGCGGAAGGCATGAACTATCACTTTGGTAGCACTGTCTCATAAGACACGATTTTTGCGTCATTGAAAAGCCCTCGATGGCGTTGCCTGACTAGAACAAAGTCTATTTGTTTTCTGGCACTTCCACTGTAGAAGGCGATCAAGTGAGAGTTACCTTAACGGATATGAGTGTTTACGACGCGAGGTTATGGTGTTCTGATATTCCAGGATGCCCTCGTATCTATACTACGTGTTTCGTAGCCGAAACCATCATGAACACCATCCGTCCTTCTCTCGCCTGCAAACCCATCTGAATGTCCTGCGACAATGACAGCGTCTCCTGATATCTCAGCTGTTTCGAGCAGAGGCCAGAACTCGTCCTTTGATCATTCAAGGCATCCTGTTTGCGGGGCATACGCAGAATGAAGGTGGTACATTCACCAAGAATCGCGTTGGAGCCATGACCAATGTCGACCTGAAGCTGGACCATGTTGTTTCCCGCACTATACCGGATAACCACTCGTCTGCGCTACAGTGCTTTTGCCTACTCAAATGAGCGTCCCATCAAGGTGCCAAGGTTTAGCGTCGCAGTTGGGACATTTGCGGGCTTTTCGCACTACGTTGCATCTTTTGGACTGGCTTAGTTGCCCCCCCCCCCTCTCGATGCCGTCCTCGCATCGGAACCCTTGCATACTTTCGCATACTTTCCACACTCGCCGCGCCTTGTGAGTGCGCGTCGATTGCGAGCTGAGTTGATCGCTGACGCCGAAACATTGACTCGGAAGTCTTATGGCATTAGTAGACAAGTGGGTGTCCCTAGGGGACCCGTCACAAATGCCTGTCACTTGCATTCGAAGCTCCGCGATCAACTCAGCTTGCAAGTGCAAGCAGTTCTCAGGAACATCTCGTGGAGGAACGAACCACAGCACTTTGTTTTTGACGAACTGTTCCGAAAAAATGTTGTGAAGCTCAACGTTGTCTGCTGGTGTTGTATTAGCGTCAGAACCCGACATTACTTGCACCTCAACCTAGTCTGCTGCATCGATTGCTGCTTTGTTTAACACGAGGAATGGTCAAGAGACAACTCCCAGGCATACATAAGATTGTTTTGAAAACTTATTGCTAATGTAGAAAAAACAGCTGCGCTATTCATAGCCCGAAGCTTGTGTTGTGCGTTGTCCACGATCAAGGTCGTCTGAAGCTGTCTCGCTCCACTCAGGATATTGACTATATCTTTCTTCCAACGGCCCAGGCCAAAGTCGCCATTTGTGGTGATATTGGGAAGGCGAAAAGAACCTTTGCCTGTCTGCACCCCAAAGTTCACGTCAGACAGGGTGACAAGGTTCATGGCAGACCTAAGGATGTTCCTGAGACGTGTACGTTTATTTACAAGAGGGGGGGGGGGCAAAAAAAGCACTTCGGCCGAGTCACAGGGGGGCAAAAAAAGCACTTTGGCCGAGTCACATATCAGCAAAGTTTTCGCAGCCCAGACAGAAGACGTGGATACGAGTACCAGGGCGGAAGATGTTCCTCGATAAGCAGGAGCTGGCTCTCGCCCATCACCTTCATGTACACCAAAATATGAAGTCATCTCCAGTCGCAGCCTGACTGGAGAAGACCTTTGGAATTCATGTCACCTCCAAACAGCTGCGAAACTTCTAGTGTGGAGCCACCCATGGATACCTGGAGACCAGTGCTCTTGATCTGAAAGACCTCCAACATCGAGCAGCTCCGACAACGTCGCTACGGTCCAGGACATCATCTTCACCACAGTCGCCAAGGCGCGGGTTGATGGTATGGACCGGACGTACCTGGATCCCAACAGGGTGGTCTACAGTGGCGGAGAAATCAACGACCTTGCTGAACTCAGGCACCGAATCACGGTCGCGTGGCAGAATCTCTCGATGGCGCTCGTCCAGAAGGCTGTGGCGGAGTATCGTGATAGTGTACAATGTGTTGTTGAATATGATGGTGGAAATGTCCAATCAGAATTTGATAAAGTGTAACTTATATCGCCTCGAAATCGAGGAAGAAAGGTGTCTCTTTTGCCCTTTGTATATATTAGGTTGGCGGGAAAGTTCTGTCACATTTTTTTCAAATTAGGCTTTCTTTTTATAGAGAGGCGTACAAGATCAAAATTATACAGTGGTTATTGCGGGGTTCTTCCCGACACAAGGCAAAGTTGGACATCATCTCGATTTTGACTTGGGCTCGGGTCGTGGAGGTTTTCTCGTCCATATAACGGTTGAGTACGGGAGGCAACTCGCAGTTAGAAGGAGCAATGTCTGGGCTACACCAGTGCAAGGGGAGAGCCATCCAGCTCTATTGCATGAGGTACGGCTCAAACTTTTTGGACGGAGTGCGCTGCACTATCATGATGAGGGCGGGCTGTGCGGACAAATTTTTCCTTCTGATCGACGGTACGCTTTAGATCTCGTAGCTGCTTTGCGTAAGGATTGACGCAGCTTCTTCATCCAGCAGTTTCCGACCCGCAGCTCCCTCAAGCTGAGTTCGCATGTACACCCAACCTCACTTCGTCATCGAAACTGTAGGCTCCCGCTTTGAAGCATTAGCGTTGTGGAAGATTGTCCGATAATTGGGGGCTTCTTTCTTATGCAGCACTATTATTTGGCATGGCACTTGTTGGAATGTTTTTGCGAAATTTTGATTTTCCTTGAAACTCACATTTTTGGGCTCTCACAGGAAGTTTCGCCTACTATGAGAAGCTCCTGCCCTTCGCAGAAGCTTCGCCTACTTTAAAAAAAATGCCCGGAATACGCAAGTTAGAGCCTCACCTTGCAGGTGAGAAGGCATTCGTTTCCCAAGACGGAAAAAAAACCGGAAAATTTCGTTTTTCGCCTGTTTTCTTTGTTCCGAGTAACGAGTGATCTCTTACCTACAAGGTGAGGTTCTAAGTTGCTGATTCGGAGCATTTTTCAAAAGTGGGAGGGGTTTCTATGAAGCTTCCCATAGTAGGCGGGGCTTCCCGTAGCAGTCCAAAAATGTGAAGATTTTGAAGAAACATCAAAATTCCGCAAAACACGCAAAAGTGGGCGTGGTCAGAGGGCGGAGCTCAGTGTGTGAGTGCAATTATGCACGTCTACAAGTGCCTCCGTTGTATGAAGAGTGGATGTGAAATTGAGGAGGTTGAAAATTCGAAATGAAAATTCGAAATTTGCAACAAACCTTTGAAAGTACGCGGCGTTGTCCATGTGCCGATGTACAGTCCTTTTCACTTAGTGTGTATAGGCGTAATAACAAAAGTGCAGAAAAAGTCACAGAAGCAGAAGTTATGAAACAAAATTTGAAAATCTATGTCCGCGCTGACAAGTAGGCGTGGCCGTCGGGGGGGGGGGCTCGCAGTGGTGTCTGGCGTGATCTGGTTGATGAATTCTCCGGTCTGAAGAGTAAGGTGATAAGTGGTGAATTCGGTTCGAATAGTGGTGAATTTGGTTTGAAAAATGATGAATTTGGGTTGAAAAGTGGTGAATTTGGTTTGAAAAGTGGTGAATTTGAATTATACATGCGGTTTCGGTTGTTTGTTTACAGTTGTTGTTTCTTCATGGATTCTCCCTATTTCAGAAATCTCCGGGATTGAATGTCACTTACCGCAATATTTCCATTGCAAGGGTAACGAAATTTCCAGAAATTGTTGACACTGTTTACCCTTTGGTGCACGGTTCTTGAATTTCTTAGCAAAACTTCGCTGGAACTTGCCTGCAGGAGTAGTCTGACCTGAACGCTAATATCACATTCGTCAAGAAACCGCGCTATCGACTAACCGCATGGCGTGGCGCCATGCGGTTAGTCGATAGTGCCGGTCAATATGTTTCTGCTATTATTGCTAGTACTTATTTATTTATTAGATGCACGCATAGGTGCGCTTTTACAACACTTGAGTATCGGATCGAAACTTCAGTCTTACCTAACATCAAACTTGAGGTAACATACGATCACTAAAATAGGTAGAAAGTCTCCAGTCAGATCTTTACCAGGAGAATAAAACTTGATGCAAAAGCCAGATCTTCGCCACTTCCAAAGGTCTTTTTAGCTGAGTCACTCTCCATTAATTCGATAATATGAACTTCAGTGGCGGCTGACGCTAGGGAAAACGTCACTCCTAGACGACAAGTACGCATGGAATCGGACCGTGTTCAGGGGATTCTGACCAAATTGTAATTTTGGCCCCAACTTCAATTGGTCGGGCAACTAGTATCAGAGAAGGCAAGACAGTGACCACATCCAACCACGATTTGCTACGTCCTACACTTGATCCACTTGCTCTGCTGGACCATAAACACGGAGAAATTCTGAAAATTGGACTACAAGCTCCAAAAAGATACGAAGCACAAAGTTGCGCGCTAACGGGATGTAAATCCACGAGCTCTTGCCTTCGAAGCGAGACCGTTACCACTAGGCTGCGCTGCCACGCCGTTCGGATTCTCAGAATTGCTAACATGCCAACACTGCATTTACAGCAAACTTGGATCGTGCAGCACTTATCTCTGGGAAATCCCCGTAACCCTTTTAATCTGCATATTCCTAAACAGCATTCGGAACTATTTATATACCTAGGTCTCCATTCAAGGTTGCCTTGTTAGATGCTCAGACAGTTGAGGACGCATATGCAAAGTATCGCCATTGCTGTAATATTGAGACGTGCACTGTTTTTTTTGTGGCAGCTCGATATACGATAATGGTGGGATTATGGTTAAGGTGAAAAATAAACCCCTCACTCGCCTCCGTGGAGCTTGGGCCTGGCCGCATGTAAGGAGAATGGGTTGGCAGCTGCAGTGTAGTGCCACTTTACCTGCTTCAAAAAGCGCTGGATTGGCGGTGCAAGGCAATAATATGGTGATTTCCGGGAATGATGTGGCGTGGGACTGCGGCGGTGCGCGGAGCGCAGCCGGGGCAGATTTCTCATCAATTATAGTGGACTCAGGATGACATAATTCTATCTGAACAAGGTCGCCCTGCACTCCCAACCGCGCCGTGTCGCACGCCCAATCGTTTGCATGGATCATCACTGTAATACCTCGGTTTACTTCATGCACCGCCTCGCGCTGCTGCACCGACTAGGCGCCCTAGCCGTATCCGAAGGCGGTTTTGTCTGCACCTTATCATTCCTGATTGTTCTGTACCGTTGAGTATGTGCTTCGTTGCGAGATCTGGTCGTTGACGCAAGTGCTACACCTTGAGCATAGCTTGAGGGGAGTTTGCAGACCCAATTGGGTACCTGCCCAGTTCCCGTACACTTCTGAGCGGAGAAAGTGGTACGTTACTGCAGCTGCAAACATATTCGCCTCGCGCTCTGCAAGGATCGTCTACGGAGGTGAGCTTACAGTGTCTTCAATTCACCTCCATGATAACTATTGAAGTTTCTTTTAAATGGCAGCTCGCTTGATTAGTATTAGACATATACTAAAGTCCGGTAGATAAGTCCGCCATTAGCTGAATCCGCGCGACCCCGCGGTCGCAGCGCACGAAACTAAACGCTATTTTCATATAGTTGATTCTGAAAGGACATTTCTGGAAGATGTGACCATAAAAGTCATAACAGATAATTATCGAGAATACGATGATAGATAAGATCACAGAATTTCAAAGCCGACAAAAAGGGGGGAGTTCTCCACTTTACGAAGCTTTCCAGAAGAAAGTCTGAACGCTCCGAAGTAATGTTGGCAAAAGAAACCATAGCTGATTGACGGAATGATCAAGTGTTTAATGGTAAATTCTGTTTCGCGATCTTTTTTGTCTTATGTGTCGCAAAGTATGCATGCAACCTAATGGCACATCCCATTTTTGTTCGATTGTTTTTTCTTCAAGACCCACTTATTAATACCTGAGCCTATATTATAACTTATTGCAGTATATTCTCCATCTCGGCATTACTCTGAAAATTACCAAAATTGGATGTGTTCCCAAATGTTGCGAACTTTCTTCACAGAAAGTCATCGCTTGCTGTTGTTTGTTCCATACATCTGTTATTCGATCCCTTACCAGTTCTTCGATCATTCAGCCTGTACTGTTCTTTTCCATGATCACTTCCTCTAGAGAGTCCTTTCAATTCAAGTTTTTTGAAAATAACATGAGGTTTCAACTAACAGAGTCCCGTCAAGTGTTCGAGCACGACGATCGCGATGTCGCACAGAATTACCTCATGGCGGACTTATCTACAGTTCTTTAGGGGAAATTTACGAATATTTTGGCAGTCGTGATTGGTTAGTTAAATTTATACTTCTTAGCGCCGTCCAGAGGATAAGGTTGAGATAGGATGTGTGCTCTCACTTGGAACAGGTCAAATACCTCTATCGCCGCTTGATCCACTCCACGTCGAAATATACAGCCCCATTTCGAGCGCATTCGCGTTCAAAAATCTCAGCCTTATATTGGTCGACCAGGTTGGTTTGCTCGTGTATTCCTTTATTAGCGCATCTGCGCAATGTGGACCCTTCTTTGAGCTACCTTCATCGTGGATACTTTTTTAGGTGACTGCCACTGAGGGTGCCCCTGTCGATCGCGCGCGTTCATGGTGTAACTCAATTGGAGTTCCTTTCTTTCGTCTCAGTGCGCCTCTTCACAAGGTATGAATTCACAAACTGGTTGACAATATTTGAGTGAATCCTTGAAACACTTGGTTTTTCACACCTGGCATTATCATTGTCTCTGGCCCTGACGGCATACACGCCGCTTGTCTCCGCTATCCTCCAGGATAATGTCTGACATCGTTCGGGAATGACTTATGGTATGTTACGGAGAAAAATCGATCGCAAGTAAGATAAAGTGAACAAAAACATCACTGAGCAGATTTCACACTAGAATTTAATGGTGTCGAACGACGGGAGGGGTGGGGTGTATTGCGCGCTTGAAACGGTACAATTCAAAATTTCGTCCATCGAATCGGTGCGAGTCGTAATTAACCAAAAGAAAAAGGCCCGCAAAATCCAAGTGAAATTATGAAAATCTCGTATTGGTGCCATTAGGCTCTACAGCGGAGCTCGTCTGTGGTGCGCTCGACAGTGTTGTGTTGGGGGAAACAATATGATGTATTGACCATGTGTGCAGATAAAGGAAAGGCGGATATTAGTCGAGTGAGAAATCATGTGAAAAAAGTATGTGCTGCCGCAGAAGGAGGGGCGCCGGCAACACGCGTTACTACGCGACAACGCGCGTTAAGCGCAGCAACACGTGTTAATGCGCAGCAATGTGTGCGCTGCGCTGTGAAGCGCGTTTCTGAACGCTGCCTCAGCTGGCAAGGTGAGTGGTCATAGCCGATGTCACTAAGTCTAACGTCAAGGCTTCGGAAAACTCTGTAAAATGATGCACAAAAACTTGAAAGCGCTTTTCAGGAACAGCACCACCGGAATTTGTAAATAATGCAATAGAGGAAGAAGCTTTTCGCTTACGCTACATTAATCCAGGTGGAGTGCCCGTCAAAATAGCTTTCACCGCGCTCTCTGGAGAAGTATTGAATGAACACACTGTACATGGGGCGTGTAAGTTAGTAACCGAGCACACGCGCCTCCTTCTGTGATACAGCCCGGCTTCGCCGCGCTTACCTTCTTCCACATGTTTATATACCCAACTGATATGCGGCTTTTCTTTATCTGAACAGATGACCAACGCTCCTTGACCAATAACATCATACCTGCTATTTTCAACACTATTACTGTGCATGACATTATGGTAAGGAGCATTGATGAAGTGCAGAGATGACAGAAAGCCGGGTATCAGTCGTGCATTTGAACGTACGAAAGCAGGTAGGGTAGACGAAGCCACGCCCGCCCGGCAAGGCCGGCCGTATCACAGAGGAGGCGCGCCGGCGTCAGCCGGCGAGCCGACTGGTATTGAATGCACGACGACCGGTGGTTAAGTGCATGGCTGCCGATGCACTGAAGCTCAGTAAAAGTAGGCAGCTCGTGCTTGAAGGCACGCACAGCCCACTGTGGACGGGTCTCTATACACCACAGACGCACTCAACCTTCGCTGTATGTTTCTTTTCTCCAACGACTTTTTGTGATCCCTAAAGTCACTCAGGTCCGAAATATAAAATCTCGTAGCAAGCACCGCCCATCTCGAGTACGTCCCGCCCATTTTGAGGATGTCTGCCCCATTTCATCCACTAACCCCTTGACCTTCAGTCCACATGTCCCCGGTGCATATGCTGCTCTGCAAGCAACTCGTGAATTTTTGACTTTTGCCCCTCCCACCTCGACACCTGCTTCGCCCACAATGGGCGTGTCTATCTCACTTCAATGGCCGAGGACTTGCACACCTCTGCTCACCTTTTGCCGGTGTCTGGACTGCTCTGGGAACGTTTCAAAGTTTTCTTTTGGCCCCGCCCGGCTCTCCTCACGCTCCGCCCGCAACGGGTGTGCCTTGTACTTCTCAACGGGTGACCCATCACTGACATTAATTTACTTTTCCCGGTGTCTGGAGTGCTCTGGAAGCGTTTTACGAATTTTAAATCAGGCTCCGCCCACCTCGGCGCACGCTCCGCCCACAACGGTGTATCTTGCACTTCTCAACGGGACCACTTGGGACCATAATCCACTTTTTCGCGTCGTCTGTAGTGCTCTAGGACCAAACTACGATTTTTTTAATTAATACCTCACGTTTGAGGTCACGCCCCTCCCACTGTGGGCGGGTCACAGCACTATGCAGATATGACAGACTATTGCCAGAGGTTTGTCTGCACCATGGATTTTTTGCCTGGTGAAGACATATTCAACTGAGAACCCTTCAACTCCCTCGGAGACCGAGTTACCGACATTTGTGGGAAGCACCGCCCATCTCGAGTACGCCCCGCCCATTTCGGGTGTGTCTCCTCCATTTGATGGGTCAACCCTTTGCTAACCTTAATCCACTTTTCCCCATCTCGGGACTGCTCTGGAGCCGAATTATGAATTTTTTCAGAGACCGCTAACTTTCGACGCATGCCCCGCCCACTGTGGGCGGGGCTTACCATGGGTTACGGTTGCTCTTTACATCTTGTCACATGCCCTACCCATCCCGACCTTGACCCCACCTCTCCAAGTTGTTCTTCTGGTAGAACTGAATTTGTGGAAAGACAAACGAAAAAACAAACAGACGAAGAAAATTCTATATGGTGGGTGATAATTCGCTAAGAATGCCTGTGTGTCTGGGTGTGTGTCACGAAATTCATAGCACCCGCCCCAGCAGCAGTAAAACTTTGGTTCCAAGATACGTAGAGTTTGGGACAGGGCAGAAGTGATATTGCCGATAAGATATGATAAGAGGCGTAGAAGGGGAGGGTCACCAAATGTATAGCGCGGGTCACAGCAGCAGTGGTGCATTAGTTTAAAGGGAATAGAGAAAAGGAATATTATTGATGGGTGACAACAACTGCAAGCAGCTGATAAGATTTGATTAGGTGCATTAAAAGAGGAATGACCGCACTCATAGCGCGAATTATGGCATTAGCTAGGCGCTGGTTCTAGCAAGCAATATGGAGGGTGAGATGGGGATCTCGACGGAGACTGGCAAAAAGGAATAATAACTGTAATGAGACGTTGCTGTCGTCATTGTAGTTCAAAGTGGTACAGCTACTTTTACACGGCCAAATTATAGAGATGTAGTGATAGGGACTGATGAAGGGAGACAGGACTCCTCCCCCTATCCGCTCCCATACTCTACCAGCTGTCTACTACACCTATCGCGCCATACTCTACCAGCTGTCTGCTAGCCTCCTATCGCGCCGTACCTCCACTCCTGGACGCTGGCAGACGTTGCAGACGCTGGATCGATATGTACTTTCCTGGTCGCTGCCGCTGCCGGACGCTTGGAACGCTGGTGGACGCTATTGGTCGCTGGTAGACGCTGCTGCAAAGTATGAAAGCAGCCTGATGTTGGGTGACGAAAGGAATAACAGAAGGGTCGCTGAATCCATAGCGCGCCACAGCAACACTAGAAGGCTGGTTGCAACGGTGATGAAGAGGATATGACGAGATATTAATCATGGGTGACAGAAAGGGATAACAAGTGGTAGGGGCTGATGAGAAGCGCTGCTGCCATCGTTGTATTTTAGGGAGTTTACAGCTTTCGCAGCACCAAATCATGTTGTAGGGGGGGGACGTTGTGTGCCTGAAACGGGAAAAATTGGCTATCAAAAAGTATGCAACACCCTCCCAACTGTGTTCCAAGCAAAGATGATGTTATTGAATGGGAAAATCGCGGTCAATGTAAAGAGGGGATGGGATCGAAGAAATACAATGGAAACTTCCCGTCGGTGGTGATGTTTATAGGGTTCTGCGAGTGACGCATGCGACAGTGTGCGTCGGTTTCAACTATTACAGAATGGGCGACAATCTAGGTAGACTCATTTAGCACACATAATTTGGCTGGCGCACACTGTCGCAT